ATTCCTAATTTTTAAAAATTTATTTATTAATTAACTTACAGATTTATTGGTTTCTTTAAGGAGGGTAATAAAGACACCTTATTTATATTCACAGAATTTCACTTATTACTGTAAGAATCTTGTGCATAACTTCAATTATTTGATATCCAGTGATGAGTGAAAATTTTTAAATTGTAATTTTAATACTTTCATAAAATCAAAATGCAGATTTTAAGGAGGTGTAACATGAGTTCTTTTAATTGATCAAAACATCCTGAATATGTTTTACAGATATTGTTTCTATTAGCAAATTAAAACTGAGAAAAATTAGAATAAATTCACATTAAAAGTTATAAGCAGTAAATACAGCACTACGACTACTCTTAATTATATATACATGGGATTATATCTGAACAAATACAAATTTCAAGATTGGATAACTTATCAAATGAACTACAAAATCACTTCTAAAAATGTTAGAATTTTTAGAAAATTTAAATGTGACTTTCACAAATAATTGCAGAAAAATAATAGACCTATGTTTTTAAAGCTAGATTTTCTTCAAATTAGTTTTTTAGGCACCCAAGAAGTTTTCTTATAAAAGTATCAGATTTTATTTCTCTACAAATAACATAACAATCTTAACTGGCCCTGCAGCTTTCAAGAAGTGTAATATTCACAAACATCATTATAAAAGTAATACTGGCTAATCCCAGACTGGTCACACTGAGGACTGTACTACAGTGGAAGGTGGCAGTAAAGATATCTCAGCATGTCACATTCAATATGATAAAAGCACAATAAAAATATCTGAAATTTAAAATATTTAAATATCTCCTGTAATTCATCATTCTTTACTGTCATTTATGGTTAACACTTGAGAGTTTGTCTGGAAGAACCACTTGAACACTGTCAGCAAGAATATGAATCTGTGTCCTCATATAATAAATAGCTAAAACTTGAGTTTACTAAAAGGAATTTTTATATAATTTAGGTAGTTCAGAGTTCAGAACAGCCTGTGTTCCTTCTCATGATGGCTTACTATGAATCCATAAATTTGAAACTCACTTAGTACCCTTGCATTTATAGATAAATTATAAATACATTTACCAGATCATTTAATATGCCAGTTCTTGATAATTTGGATAAATTTCCTTGGCAATTTCAACACCTTTTGAACTCACTCTCTATTGACAGCCTAAGAAACAATTGGGATGACTTAATCACTGCTTTAATTCATGTAGGCTGACTGACATACTTAAAAAATGCATGCATAATTACTCGCCCCAAACTGACTTTTACTAATTGAAGTCACACTTGTTCTTCAGAGTCTAGAAGAAAATACTATTAGAAAAACTAAATCCATTTAAATTTCACTTTAATTCATTATAAATGCTTTCCTTCATGTTAATTATTCCGTAACTGTCTGACAATTCCTCCTTGATAATACATTCAAGTTTCCTTCTTGTTTCTATTATCATGTATAGTAGTCTATTACAATATTGAAATAGTGTATCTTCTATAGAAATAATACTAATCAGGGCTTTTTTTCTTTTTTGAGATAGGGTCTCCCTGAAGCCCCAGCTGGCCTGGAATTCACTATGTTCAGGTGGCCCTTAAACTTATAGAGATTCACTTTCCTCTGCCTCCCGAGTGCTGGGATTAAAAGGTGTGTACCACCACTCCTAGAAATAATCAGGGATATTTTCAAAGTCATACATCTTCATATAGTAAGTCAGTAAAGTGATATTTTAATTAAGCCAAGTCCACATGTATAGCAGACTGCCATTTCTTATAATAGTTGTTTAAATTTTCTGATTTTGAATGAGTCATCATCCAAATAGGAAGAAGTATGTCAGTATACTTGCAAATGTATGAATTCCCAATGTTAATATGTCTATGAAGTTATGGCCTTTCTTTTTTAAAATAGATGTCATATCTTATCACAATTGTTTCTGCATTTTGTTGTTTTGTTTTTGTTATTAGCTTCCAAACTTCTGATGCTGGTATCTGGTTGTCCTTAAAATATTTACCAAATATAGAATTCCAGACTCTATTTTACTATAAACTCAGCCCAGACACAGCATCAGAAGTTAACATGCATGTGATGCTACATTATACATCTGCTTTTAAACAGTAAGCTAGGTTGTATGTGTTCTTAATTGAAAAATAAAATAAAATAATGGAATATTTACAAGGTCATTTTTAGAACAATCTCTTTTTGCTTATAGATTTCTAAGATAAAAAGATATCCTTCATTGATTTCCTTCATGTAAAATGATTGCTCACTTGTCTACACAGTAGAAATGGAAGGGACAAAGTTGCTATTTACAGATTCAGGGAAACTAATTTCCTCCCACTCCTGTAGAAAGATAAAGTAGCTAACAAAGTGTTTGAAGCCTCTACTAACATGTCTCCCTCATAATTCAGAAGAGGGATTGTAACTCTTATATCCTGCTCACCAGTGTCTAATAGATGGGCCACAGCATGCCATGCAATTGCATTGGATCAGCAACTGAGCAGCCCATAGGAATTCTGCTCAGTTGCTTTTAAAGTGAGAAGGTGAGATGGTAAAGATAATTAACTCTTTGTTTAGTCCATTGAGAAGTTATTGTCAAGAAGGTTATAGTGTTTCTGGGCAAATTATCAACTACCTCAAATGAAAATTGGACAAAGAGTTTTATAACCAACAAATGAAAATCAAATTTTCCTTCCATGTTGTAATACTGAGCGATGTCTCCTCAGGTGAGAAGAGCAGAGTCCTGCTCTGTATTGTTCTGAATTTGCAGTTCATACAGTGCTGTGCTGGAGCCAGAGCCCTTCCACTCTCAGAGTTGATTGTGCTTAGTATCTTGTTTCCAATTCCACATTCAGTGGTATCAGCTTGCTAGCTTAAAATCAACCATGATGGGAGTATTTACTGGCCAACATTGTACATTTTTCTCTACACAGAGAGAGTTGTTAAACATTTATCAACTTAATTCTCACTTTAAATGAGGGGTATCTTTATGGCATTCAAAAATTCATTTAATATTGAAGTCTTCTGGTTGTAAAATCATGGGACCAAGTGGCACAAAACAGGCAGTGATTTCTATCGTCACATGACTAGATCATATAGCTTGTCTGGTTTTAAGGCAACATTTTCGATATCCTGGATGCTTTTTCCATTTAAGTGTTCGGTAGGACAGTCATGACTGTACCCTGGAACATCACTGATTGTTGACACTGTATAGGATGCACTGCGGAGAGCATCAGACTGGGAGAAGCCATTGCCAAACTGGATTTTGTATTGGTTCCAATTTCTTCTCAGAATTGCTTGAACCTGTTAATCAACATCAAACAAAAGGAGGAATCCATTAATTGGAATGAAGATAATGTATTTAAAGGGCAACAAAACATTTTACAGAAAAGTTTTATTTTTTTAAATTAACAAGTGAATAATATTACTTAACTTTCTTATTTTATTATTACAGGTTGAAAGCCAGGACAGGTGGACCAAGCCTTTAATTTTAGGAACTCATGAAACTGTGGCCAGAAAATTATAAGTTCAAGACCTGCCTACATTGAGCATTAAATGAGTTCAAGGCCAGCCCAGGCAACTTAGTAAGACCTTGTGTCAAAGTAAAAAGTAAAAAGAGAGATAGAGATATAGATATTGGTAAAGCACTTGATTAGTATGTGTGGTCCCCCAGGTTCAGTTTTCTATACCACATAGACACATACACACAAAAGTTGAGTAAAACACTTTCATATTTGAAAAGTATTACAATTAATGTATATTTTGATTTAATTAATATGTTTATTATATGCCTTGTCTTTGAAGCTATAACAACACAGATGCAGTGTATGTATTATTGTCAAAAGACATAATACATACCTAATTTTTCTAGACCCTTCACATGTCAAATTGTACGTATATCTGGTTTTATGCAATGGAATAAGAAGCTAAATACTGAGAGTATATAGGAATTGGAATAAATGAAAAATCAAAATAAATTAGAGATGCAGGGTAAATCATGCTCTGTCATCAGTAGCAGTAGTTTTACTGAATATACTAGAAATTGTGCTGTTTTGGGAAAATTATAGAGCAGGGCATTTATCCTTACAGATCTTACTTCCTAAAATAATGGAATATTTCAGAATGTCACTTCTCCCCTTCTGTATATTATATCTTTCTTAAAATGAGTGTGAAATTTAATGACCCTTCTATTCTGATTGAAATTAGAGATCAGGACTAGGTATGTCAGATAGAGTGATTTCAATTTTAATTCAACTGAGAACACTATAAAAATTTTTTTCATATTGAGTCAGTGAAAACAACTAAGAATAACCAAACCCATTTTAAATGCCACCATCTGGACATTACCAGGTGCACTAAGTATACAGCCTGGGTTGAGGCTGGCCACTTTTAGACCATGGATGCATCTGTCCTGTCCCTGTGGACTGATCTATGTTCCTCAAGTGTTTATTATTTGAATGGTCTTCTCAAGCTCTGACCCGATCTTTGACCATTTGTTTACTTCCCCCAAAAGGAATCTGAGTATCTAAAAATAATTTTCCAGTAATTTATGTACTCACATCCTCATGCAATAAGTATGTAGAATTATTGAACTTCCTATTCAATATAATTGTGTAAAATCTGTATTACATCTTTTAAAAAGTCTGTCTGGTTTCTTCTTATTTCCTTCTCCAAATTGCAAACATTCTTTAATGACAATTTACAGGATGTCTAAGCTGCATGGGACACCTAAAGTTTCTTATACTTTATCACTTAAGGTGCAACAAATTTTTCTTATCTTCATGTTTCTTTAAACAAAGGGTCAAATATAGCACCAACAATTTATCTAAGAAGAAAGTAAAATAAGTTACTGAAATTTCCACTTAATTTCTTTTTGCAATTCAAACATTGTTAAATGAAATTCTATAAACTCAGTAATAAAATTATTTTACCAGCAAGTTCAGCAACTTCAGGACATTCAAGCTCATTTGGTAATAAAAGCTGAGGAAACAGTGTAAAGTAATGTAAAATTGCTCTTGAAACAGAAGAATTATAGGACAATGCTTGTATTTATCTTGAACAAAATTATTACTGCTTTATACCTGGTTTAATAATTCTAAATGTACAAGTGAAATACTTAAATTAAGGTAACTTCATGTATCTATGTGTGAAATATCTTCAAAATCAGGAGCAAATGACAGCTGGAACAGCTTTAGACTATGTATTTTAAGTAAATATTCAGAGATTTAAATAAAAATATTTTAGATAACTTATATAAGTATTTTTAGATGGAATTCTTTTTATACTGATTTTTATACTTAATATATTTTTCCTCATTTATTATGAATGCTAGACTGATTAGGTACAGAAACTACACACCTTCAAGTTGAATGGAAACAACCTAACTTTCCATTAAGTGTTCCAGACAAATATTGAAAGAAACTGACAGGAAGAAACTTATCTGCTGAGATCCTAGTACTGGAAGTTCCAAAAGAAAAAGCTAAAGAAGCTCCAGAAGTCAAAACGGCTTTCAAACTCTTTAGATATTTGTTCTTGAAGAAGCGATGATCATTGTCAGAAACTGATTCTTGCTTAACAAGAAAATTATCAGAAATAATGGAAAGCCAAAGTCCTCAACTATGAGTTCTTCTTTACTAAAGTTAAAAATAAACTTAATTAAAGACCCATGGGTCTCATCGGCCTCTGTGATTAGAATGTTGCATTTTTTTTCTTGCTTCCTCTAATAAAAGATCATATTGATTCAACAGAATATTAATGAAGACACTCAGTAAATTTAAACGAGAAAAAATGGAAGGGACATAAAGACATAAATGTGCTTTCATTTTTATTGTTTTATGTAGTTTCTTTTTACAAAACTCTATTAAATTTATGAAAATTCATTTAGATTAATAGAGTTTTGTAAAAAAGAAATAAACTATGTAATTCCGCTCTCTCTCTTGCTCTCTCTCCCATTCTTGCTCTCTCTCTTGCTCTTTCTCTGCTTTTTGGCTTTCTGAGACAGGGTCTCCCTGTCTCCTTGTAGCCCTGGCTTGCCTAGAACTTGCTATGAAGCCCTGCTGGCCTAGGTCTCACAGACATCCTCCTGCCTCTGCCTCCTGAGTGCTAGGATTAAGGACATGTGCCACCACACACTATATCGTTCTCTTTATGAAATATGACCTCACGGCTCTAAGCAAATCTTTTTGCTCTTTTCACAAAAAATATCTACATTACATTGTTGTTACATATACCCTTCTGATGACCAGTCTGTCTATGTTAGCTGTACATATTTGTCTGAGAACAAGGGCTGAGAATGAAAGTGGCTCGACCCTTGTCAAGTTACTGTTAATTCAACTAGTAAGAAATGCTGATGGGAGGATGGAGCTTGGCTAAAAGTCAGAGGGAAGAGTAAAAAGCAACAACAGATGCTGGGCAAAAGCAAGCCGTTTGACCTAATGAGGAGAGCAATAAGGGAACCAAGGTTGAGGAAATGATTTTAACAAGAACATGACATAGTTGGAAGCACACAAACTGATTTTGGCAGCTGTCTCTCCATGGTTATGAGAGTGGGAAAAGCAAAGAGACAAGGAACCAGAAAGGGAGGGATTGTAGTATTTCTTAAGATGGGGTATGATTCATGCTCAAGCAGGGACTGCATCTCCAGAGAAGAAGAAAAAGGGACAGATATTAAAGATGTGAAGAACTGAAGGATTTGGCAACAAATCGGCTCAGAGTTTCTTCTTATTATAATTTTCCAATGCCAAGATGTTCTCAATTTAAGGCATGGCAGAAGAACAAGGTACTGTGTCTCTTTTGTTTATACAGATAAAGTGTAACAGGAGTACAAGGCATTGATTTCACTATTCCTTGGATACTGTTTCTGAAGGAAAGGGCCAATTTGAAATTTTGATTCCAGTATGATTAATGTTCCCATTTCTACATGGTTTTTCTTTGAAAAAATGGGTTACTTGACCAACGCAGTAACAAAGAGACAATACACTAGGGATGTAGTGAAGTTGGGTCATTTCAAAAACCCTTAAGAGTCCTCAGTTTATATTCACCTTTGTGTTTGTGACATTAGTATAAAGAAATTGGAATTATTTCCCTTTAGTAAAGATAGATACATGTTCCTAAGTTCTGATATTTTTCTAAGATGTAACTGCCAGAAAGAAAGCAGCATCATGAGTTTGAACACACTCCTGTGTTTGTTCTGTACTGACTGTTGCTACATAGCAGTTTACTAGTGATTATGTTGCAAATATTTTTTAAAATACACCAATTTGTTTGAGTATATAAAAGGCATAGCTTCTGTATTTTATACATGCTCTTTGGCATATGTTCATTTTCATCAATATTTAGTTACTATAGCCTACATTAGTTACTATAGCCTACATTAACAACATACAGGACTACATAAATCAGCATATATATAGTGTATCTGTAGGCATACATGATAAACGCTCCAAGTTTTCACATAAAAAATTGATTCATCTGCCCTTTCCAATAGCATTCTCTGTCTCCAAGTTTCAAGGACTGGTGGAAAACAGTCACTCTATAATATGGAAGAATCATGGAACTACCATCTAAATTACAAAGTACACTGTTTGACAGTACACTGTTATATACCTCTGTTATATACAGTTATAATTAAATATAATACATATCTGTATGTTAAACTATCTACTTAATCTTTAAATATTTTGTTGTATTACATCTAAAGAGAAAGAAGTAAATGTTTGACAAGTAAAATAATATTTTATATTTTTTCATGATATGTGTGTAATTTCCAATGATTTATTTTCTAGGAGATATTCTCATAAGTTATGCCAATTGGTCCATGTGTTCTCCATCTGAGGGTCTACGATGAGTTTCTCAGTTGTCTAGTGCCCATCTCTCACTTAGTTGCTGTTTAGATTTCTATGCTTTGCTCAATTTTGCCAATATCCTCCAGATGAAAATTTGTTAAGTAGATTAGAAACAGATAAAAAACTAAATCAATATAGATCAAACTACTGAGATATAACAACATCCATACACATAAGAAATACAGACTCAATTAGGTTTTCCTACTCTTAAGTAGCATAACCTTGGGTAAAAATCTAAACCTTTCCAATAACACAATGCCTTGTTACTCATTATAGGATTCTATTTTAAATTTCCTAACTCATTGCATTGCCCTCTGTATAAAAAAAAAGTTCATTTTGTTTTACTCTTTGTGTATCTATGGCAAAGTCTTTCCAAGGGTGTCATATTGAGCCTACTGAAAAAAAGAAAGGGAGAAATGAGAAATGTTTCTTGATAAAGCACATGCTCTATTAAGTTAAAGACTGCTCAACACTCTTTCTATGATAAATTCCATATGTAACACCCTCTAAAGTAGGTCAAAGACCAGATGAATAAGTCACTCATTGGATTATTTTGAAATAAAGCTTGCTTTTTCCTCCTTTTTACATTTAATATAACATGTTTTAAAGTGAAAATTTGTTCTACAAATTTTTTATGGTTTATTTTCTCTGATAAAATTGGTTCCTTTGGAGTTCATAACCCCATCTTGTTTTAACAGAAAATGATATAATAAAATAACAAAATCAATTAACATACCTCTCCATTAAAAAAGCAGAAAATTGTGGACACTAAAAGACCCTGTAAAAGAAAAAAAATGGAATTATCTGGATCTAAATACAAAATACCTTGCATTCATATCCTACTGGTTGCATAAGCGGTGAAGAACTGAGCCAACCCACACACAAATTAGATACAAGGCTTTTCATGCTGCCATCTGAAGATCGAAGCGCCCTACCTGATAGTGCATCAGGATGTGCATAACGTAGTCATAGACTTCCTCAGCAACCCGTCCTTCAGGACGCCATGGAAAAAGCACAAACTCAATGCCAAGCAGCGGCACCAAGATGAGTGTAGCTCTCACAGCCTTCATGTAGAGATTGGATTCTGCTTGGTGTGTAACTTTCAATTTGGTGATGAGAACACGTACAATATTTAATAGAAAAAAGAGGTTCACCTAAAAATGTAAAATAGAATATAAAAGTCATTTCATATTTAGAAGCCTTATGGGAATTCTAGTTTTATAAATCTTGGGCTATCTAGTGTACATATGTGATTAAAGGGGAGGAGGGGTTCTAAGGTATTAGTGTGTGTTTCTGGAACCCTGATGTTCAGTTTATAGGTACATGAATTCTAGTGGAATTAACTTTTAGAAAAATACAACTATGGTAGAATGATTTGGAAAATACTGAATTGTGAAATACTTGAGGCATTTTTATAGCTCATTTTCTTATGTAATATTTAAAAATTTGTCTCCAGTTCCAAACTAAGCTCTTAAACATAATTAGCAAAAGGATGATTTTTAGCAAAGTTTTTATTTATTGATTTTTTTAAAGATTCATATTTATCTTTTCTATTTGTGTGTGTATGCATGTGGTGTGTGTGTGTGTGTGTGTGTGTGTGTGTGTGTGTGTGTGTGTGTATGACATGTGTAGTCCCCACACAGGCTAGAGGAAGATATCAGATCTCCTGGAACTGGAGTTACATGTGATTGTGAGCAACACAGTGTGTGTCCTCTAGAGGAGCAGCAAGCACTCTTAACTACTGAGCATTCTCTTCAGATCTAACAAATGTTAGTTTTTAAAGCATCATCTTTTCATTAGTGTCTGTGCTATGTACCCTCCAAATGTATATTTTGCCATAATATCTATTTTTATCTTTTTGGTTTGCTTTTCATTTATTTTTGCAATAATCCTCATAACATATTTTTGTAAAAATATTCCTTATAACAGCTTTTAAATAGTACTATAATTTTTATGCTCACAAAGAGACAATCATACAATTGAACCACTTGATATTCAGCTAACATTATGTTAGAAATAAAATCTTGGGCTTCCCATAAAATTGTCTATTAATCAGTTTCTCTTAAAATATTTAAAGGGTAAAAACTCATTCAATTTTATGTCTTACAGGTTTTAGACTGAGTTCAACATTGTATAACCGTATTAATTCAACTGTGAACATAAAAATTTACAGCCAATTTTGAAAGAGATGCATCTTAGCTCTGGAAAAAATTGTTACTGAATATGTTAAAGCTGTAATGAAATGCTTCTTCTAAAAATAAAAAATAAAAAGATATTTTATTTATTATTTTTATTTTATGTGTATTAGTATATTGCTTGCATGCATGTAAGTGCATCCATGTCACACAGTGCTAGTGAAGGTCAGAAGAGGGTGTTGGATCCTCTGAAACTGGAGTGACAGATGGTTGTTAGCCACCATGTAGGTGTTGGGAACCAAACTTAGGACCTCTGGAAGAACAGCGAATGCTGTTAACTGCTAAACCCTCTCTCCACTCACTTCATTAGATTCTGTAATTGCAAATTATTATTTATTGGGCTGTAGCAACTTTATCAAATAGAAAACATTATCTTAGAAGGGATTCATAGAATTTTGAAAATGTAATTTGATGCAACAAACAAGAATCTGTGTTATGACATACACTCATGTCCTTCTGTCCCTTTCCCCTCTCTTTTATCACCTTTCTCTTTCTGTATGACTTTATTTTTATATTGACTGTTTAGTTTTCTTTCCTGTTACTTTGATAAAACTCTGACAAAACAGCTTAAAGGAGAAGAGATTTATTTTAGTTCACAGTTAAGGTACTGTCCATCATGACAGGGAATTAAAGGCTGCATTAGCTTGAATCAGCTGGTCACACTGTATCCACAATAAAGAAATGTGAAGCAATGAATGTTTCCTCATGCTCAGCTCACTTCCTCATCTTACACAGACCAGGATGCCCTCTGCAGGGAGTTGTTCTACCCACAATTTGATGAATCTCCCAAACCACTAACATAACCAAGATCATCCCCCACTGGCATGCATGCCCAGAGGTCCATCTCCAAAATGATTCTAGATCCTGTTAAGTTGACAATTAACACAACAATGGTTTAAATGAAAAATGTCCTCCAGAGGGTCAGGTATTTAAACACTTGCTCCTAGTTGGTGGTTGGGAAGGTTATGGAATTTTTAGGACATGAAGCCTTTCTGAAGGAAGTGTCACTGGGGGTGGGCTTTGGGAGTTTGTAGCCTTGTTCTACTTCTGATTTGCTCTCTGGTTTCTTCCTGGTGTTTGTGGTTGAAAATGTGTTCAATTCAGATTCCTCCTCATGCTCCTGCTTCCATGTTTCCCCCCACTGTTAAGGACCCACTCTCTGGAAATTTAAGCCAAAATAAAGTCTTCCATAAGTCATTTTTGTCATGGTGTTTTATCATACCAACAAAAAGTAACTAATACAGAAGGTGGTACCGAGAGTGGGTATTGCTGTGAAGAACCTGGCTACATTGTTTTTTGAAGGAATGTGGATGACTTTGGAAGTTGGGGCTGGAAAAGCAGTTGAATACTGTAAGCACATCTGAACTAGCCATTCAAGTAGGTGCCTCAGAAGTAGTTCTGAGAGTAATGCTGATGGTAGAGACAGGTTCATTAGGTTTCAGAGGGGAATATGCTCTGTTCACAACTGGGCTAGAGCCTATTCATTTGATATTTTGGCAAAGAACCTGGCTGCCTTCTGTATCTGTCTTAAGAAGTTGCCTGAGGCTAAATTAAAAAGTATGGAGCAATTTCTTTGGCAGAGGAAATTTCAAGACAACATAACGTTTACTCTATGGCATAGTTATTACTGGTAACTCTTATGCAGAGCTAAATGAAAAAGAGCAAGTGGTGCAGAAAGATACACAAAATGTGTGGTTTTCAGAGGAAAAAAAAACACTAGGAAGCTTAATGAAGGTACTAAAAGAGAAGCTCTAACTGTTAAGATTAGTGCCATTAAGGATAGGCCTCCTGCTTTGCCCTCAGGGCAAGACACCCACCTAGCTAAATTTCCAACATGTAAAAGGAGAAAGAGAAGGGCTTTTATCTTCTTAGAAAGCAACTGTTTGAACATGCAAAAGCTGCTGCTACCATGGTTGCATACAAAACTGATAGCTGAGCTTGCCAATATTGTCCATGTGGTATTGGCTTTGGAGGCATGAAAGATGCAAGATGAGGGAGTCGTGGCGGATTGTTCCTTGACAGTTTCAGAGAGCTGTTAAGGTCAGTAAAATGTGGCAGGAAGTAAACGTGACAAGAAGGCTCCAAGGGGCCCTAAGTCTCTGAAAAGGCAATGCTTAAACTGTATAAATGAAACCTGAGTTGCAGTGGAGAACCCAAGATGTCGGAGAGGCCAGAGCCATGAGACTCTGCCAAGGAAAGCCACATAAAAGGAGTGGAGCCATCCAGAGGGAGATGTTTGTTTCAGACAGCAAAGCTGGTAGAAGAAAAACCCTCTAAACCTCATGAAACTAATATCTTAGAGGAAGGACATGGAACCACAGGATGTGTTTGCCTTCCTGGATTTTGATCTTTGTTTGGTCCAGTAACTCCTCACTATGTCACCATCCCATCCTTTTGAAATGGGAAAGTATATTCTGCTATTGTATGTTAGAAGTATGTAATTTACTTTTTTATTTACAGTTATCAGTTAAGAAGTTAAATTGAGTCTCAGAAGAGACTTTGAACTTTGGACATGTGACCAGTGTTAAAGACTTTGGGAACTTTTGAAATTGGACTAGATGCATTTTTCACTATGATATTATGATATAACTGTGAGGCTATGAGGGGCCAGGGAGTGGACTGTGGTGGTTTGGATAAGAAATGGCCATGTAAGTTCAGGTATTTGAATACTTGCTACCCAGTTGGTAGTATTTTTTGGAAAGGTTATGGAGATTTTAGGACACGGAGTCTTGCTGAAGAAAGTACATCATTGGGGATGGACTCTGAGAGTTTGTGGCCTTTTCCCACTGTGAATTTACTTGCAATTTTTTACTTTGTAGTTGGAGATATGATCTCCAAGATAGGACCCCTTAGCCTCATGAATCATAAGCCAAAATGAAATCTTTTTCTATAAGTTGTTTTTGTTCATGATATTTTATCACTCCAACAAAAAGTATTTCATCCAAACACTAATTAACATATTGACCCAAATCAACATTTTTTACTTTTGCCCATTTTCTCATTGACCATTTTTCATGCTTTTAAGAGATTTAAGGGCAGTATCTCCAGAAAATTCATGTTGTGTTAATTGTTAATCTTTTTATTTTTCTCAATTTGACTTCTAGCTTCTGTTTTTTGTTTAATAACCTAAACATAAAATTTCAAACTATAAATGAATATATAATTTATATCTTTATGTTTTTATAAATTCAAAGAATGATAGCTTGCCAATCATCATAGCAAACAATAGTTTTAAACATGTCATGAAAATTATTGAGCATAAAAATATTGTACTGAGAATTCAGTGTAATATATGCTTTGAAAATATGCAGCTCACCAAAATCCTGCTGAGAACACATCTTTGAAATTGAACATGCTTATAGACATAGGAATGTAATAGAGACAGACAGAAAAAAAACATTTGACAGGTGTAGGAATGAAAGATGATGAAAGATGACAAAACAGCATGCCAGCTGTTCTACTATTCTTAACATAGCCCCCTTCTTAACATTCATGAGGCTTTCACATAAATTGCTACCAGCTTGTAGAAAAACAATTCAACAATGAATTTTTATCCACTTATAAATTGTTATATAATATTTTAACATTCTAATATCTAAAAATGTAAATTAATAGAATAGTAGAAATGTTGCAGTTTAGATTCATCTTCCATGGCAGGTCTTACTGAGAACACAAGATTAGAACTGACAAGGAAGTTCATCTTTATGCTAGCCTCTCTCTCTACAGTGGAGGCACAGTGAATTGGATACTATTCTCTGTGCCATTTTCTACGTCATTATGATCACTTCTGTGTATTTTTTAAATTTTTATTTATTATTTTTATTTTATATGTATGCTTGTATTGCCTGCATGTAGGTAAGTGCACTCGTGTTGTGCAATGCCCGTGGAGGACAGAAGAGGCCTTCGGATCCCCTGGAACTGGAGTTATGGACAGCTGCCATGTGGTGCTGGGATTTGAACCCAGGTGTTCTGCAAGAACAGTCAGTGTTCTTAACTGATGAGGCATCTCTACAGGCCCTACTTCTGTGTATTTTAAACAAACGTAATTAAAAAAAAAATTCAGATGAACCATATCTGAATTTCATTTAGCTTAGGACAAACCTAATTGAAAGAAACCTGGTTTTACTGTGATATACATAAAGTTCAATAATCAGTAAATACAACAAGACGTTTTCATTCCACCATAGCTTCAAGGGTCATAGAAGGAAACAGAGTGAGTCTGTATAGTAGCTGAAGGAAGACTGCTAGAAGACACTTTCATATACCGATGGCCAGCAATTCCACTGTGCCCCATGTGACCTAAATGTCTCACTGAACTCAGCAGGATCTTAAAGTGTGTTGTCCTTCAGTGCCACCTTGCTTATGGGGAAGTGTGAAAGAGGAAGTTTAAATGTAAAGGGGAAGGTCATGGTTAGAATGTTTTATTTATAAAAATTTGTACAAAGATTCATGAACCTACCCAAGATATTGGAATTAAAAGGGCCAGTGTGGGACTCTAGAGTTGAAACAAGGGCAGAATAATTTAAATTGGTGAGAAATAGTTTCCTAGTCAATCAATAAAAGAAACTTTCTACAGATAAAACACGTATTTGCTTCCTTTTACTGAGTAGCATTTTGGGTTGTACTTTATATATTATTTTTACTGAAGCTACATCACTGTTCTCTCCCAAAGCTGATGTGGTCAGACATTTCTGAGTTAGCTGCTGTTACATTTTACATTTGGTAGGTATTTTACTTCTGAGTACCTCTGGTTTAGTAGGTTTTTCTTAATTTTTTATTATTTTTTAAAATTTTATTTGTGTGTATATGCCTTCATGTATGTAAGTGTGCCTGTGTCATGCAATAACCATGGAGATCAGAGCAGCGTGTTTGATCCTCTGGAACTGGAGTTACAGATTGCTGTTAGCCACCATGTGGGTGCTAGGAATAGAACCCGGGTCCTCTGCAAGAGCAGTCAGTTCTCTTAACTACTGAGCCATCTTTCCAGTCCTGGTTTAGGAGTTTAACTCACAGTTAAAATTTCTTTTTTTTAAAAAAAATTATTTATTTATTTAACATTTCATACAGCACTTCTTAATCCTGGGACTGGAGTTATGGACAGTTGTTAGCTGCCATGTGGGTGCTGGAATTCGAACCTGGGTCTTCTGCAAGAACAACCAGTGTTCTTAACTGCTGAGCCATCTCTCCAGCCCCTCACAGTTAAAAGTTCTACAATAAAATGTTGCCTTGAGATTTTCTGGAAGCTTGTGGATGGCCCAAACAACCCATCTTAATTTCTTTGTGCTCTTCTCAGAACAAAATTATGGTCTCATACGGAAATTACAAGAGAAGAATGTTTTTAAGTATTCTTTTTCAGAATTTATTATATTCTAGCATTGTGCTGTCATTTAATAGGAAGTGTCTTGTTTAATCCTTAAAACACACATTGGGGTATCATATTGTTCTATCATTATGGACCAGTCATAGAAAGGTTGAAAATAAATCAGAACCTATTCTGAGATACCCATTCAACATAGGAGAGTCAGGGTTTTTTACATGCTTTGAGTGCTAAGAATACAAACCAGGACAGAACACATTTAAATTTTGTGTATAACACATGCCCTTATGATGTAGAAGGAGCAAGAGAGGAAAGTGCTACCAGCTTTGAAATCTTCATTAGAATCTATGCTAAGTTTTATTAAAGGTTAATAAAAAAAAATAAAGGATGCTAAAAATTTTATGTGTTGATTTCCAAATTGGCTGTCTTGTCAATCTTCAAATAAATTCAGAAGTGACACTTGCTATGCCTTTTCTACATCTGAGGCTAAGTACACTTCTTTCTTTGTATTACCAGTTGCAGTACTCATTTAATTTATATAATACTAGTGATTTCAATGTGAAATTTTCTCATAGGCTCATGTGACTAAAACTTGTTGTTCTAGGGGATTGTAGAGCAGTTAGGAGGTAGAGATTTACTGGAACGAGTAGGTTATCCAGCATATGGAGGAGTCCTATGGATTCATAGACTGGCTATCCATGTCTGTTTTCTGCTTCTTGATCCACCAACATGTGAGCAAAATTTGATGTTACCGCCATAGCAATGAGCCATTCCCACTGTCATATCTTCCTAGCTAGATGGAATTTATTTCTTCAAACCATGGGCCAATGTAAATCTAGTCCTTTAAGTAACTTCTTGTCAATTATTTGGTATCAGCCACAGCAAGAAAAAAAGTAACCAATATAGAAAATTGTGACTGAAAAGTGGGACCATTACTGTGATACACTTAGGTGGCTGAAAGGCTTTGGAGCTTATTTGCGAGAGGAATGTTGAAGACTTTTGAAGTGAAAGTTAGAGAAACCCTGGATTGCTCTAAGCAGAAGCTTTATGGACTATTCTGGTGGGAGTGTGCAAATCAACAATGCTGGTAGAAATAGACAGTAAAGGCCTGGCTCCTGGGGTTTCACTGGAATGAAGACTCCATTCCTGTTACCTACTGGCAATAAATGTAGCTATATTCTACCTGCATCCTGAAAACCTGAGTGAGGCTGAATGAGAAGGTAACGGACTAATTTGTTTGATGGAAAAAAATTTCAAAACAGCTTAACATGCAGGATATGGCATGGTTAGTGTTCTGTTCATGGCTTCACATTTATAGTAAGAACAGCAGAGGAGCAGAAAGCTATGAAAAGCATGCAGTTTTTCAAGGATAGAAGCTTGAACTACTAAAGTTGAGGACAGGCTAGGTATGGGCATAGTGGCTATAACTGTAGGAGATTAAAACCACTAAGATGGAACCTCACAGTTTTCTCTGGGACAAGAGGAAAGGTGCCATATGGGTAAGACACCACTCATGGAAAGCACCTGAGTATAGCAATGAAAATGTATAATGGCTGTAGACCACTGTCACTCTTAGATTACAGAAAAGTAGAACTACTTCCCTTTCTGTAACTCTTTTGTACCCATTATTCATCATTTCCTTATGTTCCAACCTCCTTCCCTTCCTAGCTTTCAGTGACATTCATTCCCCAGTATGCTTTATGCAGTGATTTTTTTGTTTTTATAATTTTCAGTTATGAGGGAGAATAGGCTAGTTTTTCTGCACCTGGCTTATTTCACTCAGTATAATGTCTTCCATTCTATTCTATTTATTAGAGATGAAAGCATTTCACCTTTCCATGGCCAAAAAACACCCCCATTGTATATAAATTCTACTTGTTTTTAATCTATTTCCCCATCGTGAGCATGTTGGTTGACTCCATATCTTGACTAATCTGTTCCCTTCTAGCTTGGGGTTTTACTTTTAAGAATGTGATTTTTGTTTTGTTTTGTTTTGTTTTTTTGAGACAGGGTCTCCCTGTAGCCCCAGCTGTCCTGGAACTCACTATGTAGACCAGGCCGGCCCTGAACTCACAGAGATCCACCTGCCTCTGCCACCCGAGTGCTGGGATTAAACGCATGCACCACCATGCCTGGCAAATGTGATCTTTTTTGAACTGAATTTAGTGAACAGTAGAAATAGGGTTCTGTGCACATTTGTACAATTTTCCAAGCACCACTAACTGTAGTGATTACTTTTGAACCAATTTATATTCTTAGCACTTAGTTTGAACGTAATTTGGCCATAAACATGTTGTTGATATCTGAATTCTATTTGTTGATTCACCATAATCCACACTAAAGAGCTGGCAGAAGTGATTATCTGTTTAATGAGACAATGTATTTACCCTTCCTAGAAATCCCTCCCTGTTCAGACTCTTGTAGCTTTAGCACTGTATAAGAGTGTGGAGCCTTCCTGATTTTCTGAGTTACCTCCCAAAGCATACCTTCCAATTTTTCTACTTTCTCTCTTTTCACAGCCTCAGCATTCATTTTGTGATGCCCTGTGCTTTCTTATTGTTGTTCTTCCATTCCTCTACTTTCTTCCATGTGGCCACTTATCAATGGCATGCTTATTTTTCTCTCCTGGTAGCTGCAAGATTTAAAGCTTGCCGGCCATGCTGGTTTTTTTTTTGTTTGTTTGTTTCTTTGTTTTTGTTTGTTTTTCTCTTAAACTGTAAGGAAATTACCTTGGAACTTCCTTTTGAGTCAATTCCTCTATTAACGAGATCAAGAAATTGAAAGAAAACTCCATTTTCCTCTGTAATACATGGTACCCAACATGGGGCTCCCTGAAGTTTTCAGTAACACAACAACCACATTCAAAAATACCCAATTTTGTACTCATATTAAGTGATGAGTACTGAAATTTCAGAATAGGTCAAGCAGTGCTCTTTCTGAATTGAAGCTGTTTCTTTATTGGGTCGTTATTATTGCATAGGTGCTGTGGTTCATTGCTGCATCAATCCTGTGTTTGCTTTGTGCCTTGAGAACTGATACCCATGAACAGCATCATCACTCAGGCTTTCTTGCTCTCTGATATTTACTATATTTGGCTAGAGGTAGAAACGAAGAAATCAGAGATGGGAAGAGGGAGAAGTCTGAGTAAAATTTTTTTTTCTGTCTCTTCTTTCCTGCTTGGCTGTGGTTTTGGCACCAGCTCTTTTCCTCCACTCAAAGCCAGAGCACCTGTAACACGACTTTGGGCATTTGACTAATTCTATTAGAACTGCTTTATCTTCACTTCAAGTCCAGCTGTGAAAACAATTTCCCACATTTGGTCCCTGATGCCTTGCTATCCCTTGGAAATTAGGAATTTACCTTGCTTGCCCACATCTTAAATGCAATACCTCCATGAAGCATGTTTAATTAAGCACTGTGAGCTCATCAATTCTGATGCCTAAGGTCAGAGAATAAATACAGGAAATATGAGCAATCGTGAAAACAAATAATTTTAATTACGTACCAGTAAAGCGGCACAAATTGGACCATGGATAATGTAGAGGAGATGGGTATCAGAACTGATCCAGCAACTAGGAAGAAAAGTAAAGATGTTACATAGAAGTTTTTCGATGAAATTAATTCTAATGGAAGTCAAAAAGATAAAACATCTTACTTGTCATTGTAATACAAGCTTCTGGCAATGGCGTGGATGCAGGCAGGAAGCAGTGGAAATCCTACAAATATTAAAGTAAAGGAGAATGAGTAGACAGCTTTCCTTATAGATGGAATTCATCAAAGAGGTCATAAAATATGAACTTAGACACTCTAGTAGCAAAAATAAACAGCAAAAATAAATAGCCACCACATATTTATTAAGCAAATGGTATCTGTATAGTCAGGCAATAAATACAACAAACTTTTTGCTGTAAATTATTTTTAATTGGTGGATTCCAGAGTTTAAGTCCATAATGTACTGCCTATGTCACAATGTTTAGAATAATTTATGTATTCATAAAATTTCTGTAAGATAAACAACTGATATTTAGAACATGATCAAATGTTAGACAAAATTGAAACTAACGAACATTTCTACCATGGGGGAAAAATTCACAGTAAGCCATTTTCTGAAGAAGACAAAGATGGTTCTTTCAAAAATGAAACCAACAAATGTTTTATAGAGATGATCAGAATGTCTCAAAAATCAGGTATGTATACATACATACCTCTTTACATACATACCTCTTTACATCTATCTCTATATAATTATGTATGCCTTGATCTAGGTAGATGGTAGATAAATAAAATTTCTCTTTTGTCTATGGAAATTATTCTATTAAGTTTGTTTCCTATATTTTATATTTCACATTGTCCCAATTACCTTAAAAAAACAAGTGTTACTGATTGCTTTGTAAGTTACACAATGTGAAGAGATTACATGAAAAAATTAGATCTTTTGCATACTTTTCAACAATTACTGACACCTCTAGTTTAACTATAAAATGAAAATTTCAGATAACCTCAAGGGTTTTTCATCTAGGACTTCAAAGCTGGTTAACACCAAGGTCCTCATTTCACACAGGACAAAAGAGGAAACAGAAAAGTGCAGATTCATTGTTTAAATTCTATTGTTTTAGTTATAATGTATTTCTGGCTGGAGGGATAGTGCTGCTGTTAACGGATAAGGCTAATAACCAAAATGTTAGTTACTATGTGTTTGGCCAGGATAAGCTATTAACTGGACTATTAAATATAGAAAGGGCATTGAATCATTAATAGACACATGATTAAAGAAAAAAAATGAATTAGTCATACTTTGCTTTAAATATTTCAGTTTTTTGGAAAGTGGAAGGTTTCAATTTACAGAATGATGATAAATTATATTCTCTAAAGTTAAAAATTGTTCTTAATCAGTTGAATAAGCAGATCAGGATAGTGGCACCTACCCCAGCCAAGAAAATAATACCACATCAAATGCTGCTTCTCTGCAAACACGGCCACCACGATGAGTGTGTGCAGGTAGATGCCTTCACAGAGCATCCAAAAGTAATTACATCCCATCAGGTAAAGATGAATGAACTGAGATACTTTACAGCTCACCTGTGAGGAAAAAGATTGTTTCATTTCTTGGTTTATGAAATGCACACATGTAGTAACAATCCAGTTTATTTTAAAAACCATGGGATTTTCTGTCTTGCATGCCAAATTGCATACACTAAAGATTCTGATTTACACAAGAAGCTTTTGAATTTTCACCCCATGATATATCTAAAGCTACTAACCATAGACTCCAGTGGTTCATGAGAATACTGTGATACTCCAGACAATTCTGCACATGCTTAAAGTCTCCCTCTGGTTAGTATATGTTTGTTTTCCTAATGTGTTCAGGCTATTATGTAATTATAAACATTTCACACATGATAAATAAAGTAGCCTATAGATGAATCCAGTTGATAGGGAGAAAAAGCACCAGGACACAGATAAAATTCCATTGGAATAGAGTTTATTAGCAAAGGAGCACATGCGACAGATTCCCTTCCGGGCAGAGAAAATGTCTGCCCTGGGTTATGAGCTGTGGTCTTTTTAAAGGGGGAGGCTTCTGCTTCTGGCAGAAGGTGGGAAGATATATATATATAATTTAAAGTTGGGTGGGGGAGCCTGTTAAAACCTGCCCTCTTTAGAGATCAAAAAGCCTGCTGTGTTGGCTGAACAGTGGAGAAAAGTCTGCTTCTCTTGACTTCAAAGACCAGGGTGCTTATCAACGTGGTTCCCCTTTCTCAGGGGCTTGTGAGGTCCATGTTGGTGAGGGGGCAGGACTATCTGAACCTTAACAATATATACATAACTTTACATCTCTTTTAATTGTGATTCTCATGATGATGCTTCTGTTAGAAAACCTTTACCAATTTTAAAAAACAATTAACTAAAACTGTCCCAAATACTTGGTAAGATTTTTATACTTTGTATCACTAACATAAAAACTTCTAAATACTACTCTAATGAACCCATACACTATCCAAATTCAAAATATGAGGTTTTCATGTGAGTATAAAGTTTAAAAATGTCTGGTTTCTCTTCCTCTTTTCCTTAGGTTTCTACTTTCTCTACTCTTACTGAGGAAGAAGGGAGTTCAAATATCAGATAATGAAAACACAAAGGAGCTAAGAGATACAACTTTATTCCTTAACAAGGGAAATTAATTTAAAGTCTTCTCAACATGTGTCAAACTTCATTCTCAGTCTGAAGTACAATAAATATTTGGTGGTAATTGCTGCTCTTTTTGAAATAAATATTATTGTTCTAAAATGCTCAACTGTAAAACACTGGAAAATAAATATTGGGTAATCAAGGGGTAGCACAAACAGCATTTGCATAGGTGTTACCCCAAAATGTTTGAACACTTATTTGTACAAATTTTATTTAATCTTTGAATAATCTGTGAAGCATGCATTATAAAAGGCCATATATTTTATGGAAAAAATAAAGCATGTAAAATTGAATGGTTCACTAACATTCATATAACATCAATTATATGTGCTTCCTAAAAAATTCTTAATTCTAATTTTATTGT